TGGGACGTGTAGAAGGAGGCTGACACCGCCGTCCGCTGCGAATGCCTGAAGCACTCCCATTGGCAGCCAGCGCCAGCGCCATGCGAGCAGGCCTTCCCACTGACAATGACGCAGAGCGAGCAATCCTACGCAGCTCCCGACTGCCAAATATCCCTCCGCTCACGTCTAGGAGTTAGAAGGCCTTCACCCGTCACGCGCCCAGCCACTCACTACATACTAAAGAACTCACTACATACTAAAGCGCTCTATACGAAGCCAGCGTTCCTCCTTTCGCTGAGCATTCGTGCACGACAGGATAACAGCTTAGACTCTGCGGAGCCTCTCCAGCACTCTGCAGAGACAAAGGATCGCTCCCGCTACCATTGCGTCAGGAACATAGCAACGCACCATCTGTCGCCTTGCAAACACTGCTGCAACAGCAGCTGCATTCCAAATTCCACAAGAGCAGCTGCATTCCAGACAATGGATCGCTCCCGCTACCATTGCCTCAGAAACACAGCAACGCACAAGCTGTCGCGCCTTGCAAGCACTGCTGCAAGGGCAGCTGCATTCCAAATTCCACTCGACGCGTGCGCCTCCCACCCGTGCAAGCTCTCATCGTAACCGTGGAATCGTAGTCTTCAACGCAGCTTCCGCACTCATCGGCCCAACGTAAAGAGTACACCGCTTTACCTCATTCCTACTGCGCCTCCCACCCGTGCAAGCTCCCAACGTAACCGTGGAATCGAAATCTCCAATGCTCCCATTGTAACCGTGGAATCGAAATCTTCAACACAGCTTCCGCACTCACCGTCCCAACCTAAAGAGTACACCGCTTTACCTCATTCCTACTGCGGCACTCAGAAAGGCAAATGCATGCACATTTAAGCAGGACGGTACTACATTTAGGCGTGACATACGCAGCACCTCTTGCGCCGTGCTTCACTCGCGAACGCGCGGGTGTTAAGTAGCATGGCTGCGCAGGGCCTCCACAACCAACTGCAGAAGCCATGCTTGTTATCATTGCCGCTGCGCTCGCGTCTTGCTACAATGATGCTCCCCCTGGCGGTCCAGGCTCAAGACGCACCGGCTGTTCGACAAAGCAGCGTGCATCATGTAACACACGAAAAACTCACCTCCAAATGTGGGCACCAGCTGCCTTCCGCTTACGCTCACACGTGTGCCTACCTGTGCGCAAGCACCCGGACATCAGCAACGCATGCGCTGCATCACTTTCTACACGAGCTTCAATTCGATGGAATCCAACGTCCAGCAACTAAATGCAAAGTGCGAAAGCGGGCCAACACAGCTTTCGTGAAAAAGCACCGGTAGTTGACGGCGGATGGAGTTGTTAGACCTTCAATTCACCACCGCTCCACGCATGCGACAATGCCCCCGTCAACCTACTGCCGCTTACGCTGGATGTGTCCATTCGTATGCAGCGGTCGAGCTCAACGATAGCCCAACGGCATGTCTGTGGCATTCTACAAAAAATGCATGCTTTTCCGCAGCAAGTGCTCCATTATGCTCTGCCTGCTCAACGTCGAAAGCGTCACG